TCTTGTTCAATTATCTCTATTATTTAATGCGCTGTGAACGGCTCTGTGTAAATAAAATTAACCACCCCAATTACTTTGAATTCATCTAGGGACAACGTAATAAAAAATGTGAAGAATTCTGTATGCCTATTAATCTAAAACATTACAGAAGCTTTCACCAGATTTTCTTGTCTATATTTATTTTGTCTACATTTATTTTAGTGCACTGCTAATTCAATTACATTTACCATCAGTGGTCAATCAGCAACAGCAGAGGGGTTTTTTTTATTTCATTAATCCTTGTACAGGACCACAAACATACTCATCCATTAGTAAGGTACAGAATCTCCCATGGAAAACACAAATATGCTTCTACTTGAATTTGGGAGCCTGAAGTTAATCAGAAAAACAATTAAAAACACTTCATACCCTGTGGCCAGATAACAAAATATCTGATAGCTACAATTTTTTTTTCAAATATTTGTTTTTGCAATTAGTGAAGAAACAGTGACTGAAAAAGAGATAAATTTCAGATAAGAGATTTGTGGACCAGGATTCTTTGACTTTTATTTTAATTGTGCTATGTGATAATTCTGCATTTTAATTGGCACTTGGATATCAAAATAATGGACACCTTAAAATGCAATGACAGAAGAATATGCAGTGGAGGAAGACACTGTCAGAGGCAGACACAAAACTATTTTACCCATAGCAGGTTAGGCACAACATGGGAAATACAATCCCAAAGAAAGCAAGATAATCCTACCTCTGTCATCATTTAGTTTCAAGCCATTATAACAGAGGAAGAAGAAAAATCAATGATATTAGATCATGATTTTTATACTCCATCATCCAACTCATTCCTCTTACTTGATCATCTGGGCTGCCTGTTCTCTAAAAAACTTGCACCCAGCAAGTTTTTTGTGGTGTTGTGCTTCATAGGGCGGATGTTGCAAAATCCCTCCTATAAACCCTTACCGATATCCCGACAGCAACAGCTGTGCCATGAAGTTATTCCAGGGAGCTCAGGGCACTGAAGCACTGATTCCCCTCACAGCTTTGCAATGGAGCAGTAGCCACACTGCGCTGGAACAAGGTGAGGTTACATTTTTATTATATGTGCAAAGACTAAGGACTGAGGTTACGCCACCGCTGACATAAATTACTGGATGTTAATAAAAGTGTTACTACTCAGATTCAAATGGAAATCAGCAACCCAGGAATTTTAATAACTTTTATTTTGTCACACATCTTAGGAAAGTGTTTCTAGTCAAATCATGAGCAGCTGGCACCGGAAATGCAAAGCTTCAGCCAGTTCCAAACTCTGTGCCTAGCTGACGAACTTTGAAAGTATCAGCTCCCTTCTGGCCAACAGCCAGAAACTTGTCTTCCCCAGCCAAAAAAGCTTCCTAGCAGAGCAGGAAAATGGCAATGCATGTGCAGACAAGGACCTAGGCTGTCCTCCTACAGCCCCATTTTCATTAGATGCCTTTCCCTTATGGAGGGTAGCAGCTCTTAGAGCAGCGGTGGAATGGATACTCTGCAACCCAGGCTGAATCCTAGGGAATGGATTGGAGAGCAGTTGTGTCAAGGACTCCTCTCCTCCTTGTTCATGCCAGAAAGGGAATGGGGCATTGAGAACCTCCAGGATCCACTTTTCCCAGATACCCACAGCCACTGTGCCCCTATCAAAGCCAGGGTGGCATTTTCAACCTTTTATTTGCAATCCTAAGTGCTAGAAACTTTCTCTAAAACCTAAGTGAAATATCTAATGAAGTCAAACAATGCCATTAACTGGAATCTAACCAAGAATATATATTATTTATACTTACAGTTGCTTCTCTTTTGGTGAAAACATATGATTTCTTCCACATTTATCAAAGCCTGCAGTGTCCAAAGGTTAGTCACTATATCTTTCTGGTCTTATCACTAGCCCATAGTAAGGAAATTCCCACCAAGACAGATGGAACATTAAAACTAATGTTTTGATACATGGGAAGAGGACACAAAAATCTTCTTCTGTGAAATGAATGTGTGATTTGAAATGAATGATACAGAACAATGTTCAAGCTGCTGCCTTAAAAAAATCCCTCCTGGCTAAGCAACAAAAAGGACTCCCGAACTCTTAAGGATGAAGAGCTGCCAGGTGGCAAAGAGTCTCCCCACTGGAATAAAACACCCCCAGTTCTGTGCTGGAGAAGGATGAGAAGGAAAAGACAGTGCTTTCTTCCTAATTCTTAATAAACAACCAGGCCAAGCACAGTGGAGAAGGAAAAGATGTAGTCCCAAGCAGACACAATAGGGTTGAGCAGACCATGCTCTACCTTCTTCCTGAAGTTAACTTCAAGGCAAATGACTGTCATGATGGGAGTCTCTCAGTTGTTTAATTTATCTTGCATGGTCCTGGCACACATAGAAACAATGCTGACAATCCCAATACCAAATGTGCTCCCACACTGATGGGGACTATGACCCTCCAAACAGTTGCTAGGATCATTCAGTGTAAGCCCTTCCTGACACAAATGTACAAGCATGGTACCCTCCTTCAACTGCTGAGAAATAAGGTCAGCAGAAACCTTTACTTGCCTGAAGTTCTCCAATATTACACCCCCAAGCACTACAAAATTAAGAAAGAGATGTGATTAAAGAAGAGCGTTAATTATTAAACCAATTCATTAGTGATTCTTGTCCTTCATGTTGAGTTTTCAGGATCTTTCTGCTACACATGCCCAAGTGTCTTCCTTTTTTCTAAAGCCTGCATTTTCAGAAACCCCAAATATCTGAGAGCTGGCAGCATTCTGTACTTGTCATCTTTCTGGTATGCAACAACACCTAAGGGAGTATTTGCAAAATCCCAAGATCATCATCAACAGCCCTTCAGGGCTTTGCTAGCTACCATGCTGTGGTTACTTTCTTCCTTCAGACTTGGCTTTACAGACCACTTGGTGGCCCCTGGCAAGCTGGCAGGCTATATGGTGTTGACTCATAATTTTTTGTTTCCAGATCCCTCTTCTCAGTCAGACACTGAGGTGAAGCTGCCCAGATTCCAACAGAGGAAGTTGGGATAAAGACATGGGCACAAGCTCCTAACTTGTCTGCTTGAGGAATTACTTCCCATTGAGAGGTATGGGAGAAAACCAAGCGCCATCCTGACAAAGAGAGTCACTAATGAGATGAGATTCACCAGATCCTCTGAAGGCTTTCTGGTAAGATGTGAACCACAGTTAGAGAAGTTTGAGAAGCCCTGCTTTCAAGGCTATAACTATAGGTTAAAAAGTCCAGTTTTCACATGTTTTCTCCTAAATCGCATTTTTTAGCTGAGAACATAAATAAGATGTTCATAATTGACTTGTCAAATCAATTGCTTTAAATTAAATCCTGAATGCTCAGGAAATGTTAAAAGTAAAAGTAAATATTTTATTATGACTTCACCACTTGTCCTCTTCTCCCCATTACAAGAAGTGATGGATATTTACCAGTATTCCAGTCACAAACCTCTAAACTACACTTACTCTCCAGCTGTGTGCTAGTCTCCTATTTTATGCATGATGCCTATAAAAAAATTAACCTCATCATGGGTCTGACAGGAAGAATTCAGCAACTTCTGTCATACTTCACAATACAAGAAATTAGAATCAGTAAGAAATCTCTTTTAAAATGGACTAAATGACAGAAATAAAATAATAACATGGTTGTTAGAGTTTTTAAAATCCCCAAGTGCTATGCTGATGACTCCATATGTATCTGTAGGTGGTATCTGGAGTACATATAAGACTCGTGAAATATTGTACTGGCTCTTTTGTGCAGAACATACATTTCACAAATATAAAAAAGTACACAAGAATGTGGAGGATAAGACACACTTTTTTTTTAGATAAATAACTAAAGATCAAGATGGAATGCATTTGAAAAAGTATTTCGAAAGACCATAACACATAAAAGTCCTACTAAACAAGCATCCACTCAGCATGGAAATAGTTTCTGAATTACATGTTTTGTAAACATAGTTTAAGAAATCAAACAACCTCAGCACATGAGAAGGTAAACACATTGAAAAAAACACCCTAATACTTGGATATGAGCGGCAGGCTCATTTCAAAGTACTGAACTTTAACTAAAGTCAATTCATCTGTATTTCAAAACATAACACTGCTTCAAGTTTACTTTAAAACCTATTATTTCAGTTAAAGACAGGCTTCAAGTTTATAACATCAGATATCCATTTAACTTACAAAGACAACTTACCCACAAAGTAATCTGGATCAACTAACTTTTTTTCCCCTGGACAGGAAGAACCTTTTTTGGACTTACAACACTATTTATTTTTGAAACACTGAAGCACTTTTTGTTTCCAATTGCTACGGTTTAACCTCTCCACTTCTGATGACCACCAGCACTTAATACCCATCTAAAGTTCATCATTGAAGTCACAATCATTATGCTTTTAACAAAAAACTGCCCATATATTTTAATCCTTTCAATGGCACCTACAACACCAAGTATCACAGATTTTTAAAACCCACCTCCTGAAAATAAACAAATAAAATAATTGTGGAGCATCAGTACCCAGATAGTATTCTTAAATTTCAGTGATCTAGTCAATGGAGCCTTCCTCCATGTACTATGCTGTTTCATGCAGTACATGGCTTTAGCTGGCCAAATTTTTTTTCCCACTGAATCAGTAGAACAGTGAAGATCTTACTTTTTTTTTTTCTTTTTTTTTTTTTTTTTTTTTTAAGCAGTGGCATATCAATGAGGCACAGATGTGTATTCCAACTCTGCATGGATGAGCACACTGTTCAATAGTGCTGGCTCACACGGTATCAGGGCAAGTTATCACTTCCCATGAAGGCACTCTTATCACCAGGGCCCAGAGAGGTGGCTGCAAATCGCAGCCTTTTTATTTTCAAGGCAGTTTTGCTGAACATTCAGGCTTCAAAGATTCACACTTCCAAAACTCTATAAGAGTTTGTGAACGCTCAATTTGCCAAAACTGTTTACAGTGTAATTGGGCACCGTACCTGTGTCCATGAGATAGCGAAGGCGCTTCTCCACCAGCGCGGCACGGGTGTCAATTTGCTTTTGCTCATTCTCTAGTGCTGCCAATTCTCCTACAACATACTGACTGGTGTCTTTGAACCCTTTCTGTTAAAGAGAACAAACAAGAAGAAAAAACATCACTTGTAAGTTGCATTTTTCCTTTCCACAAACACTTAGTAAGGCACTTACCTAAACAACCAAATATCATGCTCACTACCAAAAAGCTAACACATTTCATAAACTTTACAATTTTGCCAAATGTCCTTATTTGTTTATTAAAACACCCTGGTTTTTTCTTTAGGGAACATTTGATTCTGCAGTTTTTTACTAGCTGGCAGTTATTTTGAAATTCCTGTAATTTATTTCTAAGTGCATAAAAGCTGCTGTAACAAAGTGCCATGAAAAGAAAGGTAATACAAATAAAGCACTATTTAATGTACCATTTCTACTCCATTCAGGTGTGATTCAGTTTTAAAATGTTAACTTTCTAGGCTAGAAAGACTAGCACAAGAGTATCTAGTGACAATTAAGAAATGGGTTTTTAAGATTAAAAACAAACCCCAAACAAGATCCCTGGCTTGTTTAGCTCTTCTGAGCCAACTGTAGCACTGAGGGCCCCCAGTCTGGGCCATCCTCCCCCTCTGGGTTTCTCTGACTGAAGGAACTGGCCTGCCCACGGGGTGATCTGCAAAAACACCACTAATTAACTGCAACTCTTGTCCTGGAAAGTGGTGACAAGGCCCTGGGCAGGCACTCAGGTGCACAGGGACTAACCTGAGCTGTCCTGCCTCTGCACCAATCACACCTGGCCAGGAGGCAGCCCAGGGATGCCACGCTGATAAATCCTACTGAACCTTACCAAGAAGTTAGAGTGGGAACACTCTAACAAGACAAGTTTGCCTCTTGTACCCTGTAACTCTTCAGCACTGCCCTGCACATGATCACACAGCTCCAAGTGTTTCAAAAGCTATTTGGCTGTCTTGTAGGAGCTCAAGCAAAGGTGTTCAGTACCTCCAAGTTATTCTCATGTGGCTCAACAACTTTCACACAGTGAAACTTTCACACACATGGCTGTACCCCATGCTGAAATGTCATTCCTGAAGCATGTTTTTGCATAAGTTAAGAAAAACATGCTACTCCTTCCAAGTAACCTTCCATGCACTTTTTTCCTCCTACGCCTGACCCAGAGCCTGGGTGAATGTTTTAAATAGGTAAAAAAAACTCTGACGAAAATATTTCATGTTTCTTCTACACCCTGTAAAGGATGAAACAAAAATCACTGTCCTTTGTGAACAGAAAAATACACAGGCTTTTTTTTTTTGAGACTTATTTCCCTACTAGGAAACAACTAACTTGTTGCTGCATAAGGGACTCAAATACTTTCACTGAACATTTTCAACTGTTTTTCTGTAAATGTGTCTGAAATAATCAATTCAGCTTCATATTCAGGCAGGAGGCATAATAAACACATCAGCATATTATTTCAAATAAAGACATGTTCAAAGTGAAAGTTAACAGCATGGCTGAGCTCCCAGGACCTGTAACTAGCACTGAACTTTGAAATTTGGGTTATCCAAATTTAAGGACAATAATTTGGTTCCTCTCTTCCTACACAATAGTCAACAGTAGTGTCCCTAATGGAAAACACTTTTCTACCTGTTGTATAGCCAGAAAAACAGCAACAACAAAACCAAAACTCCCTGAGAGCAGACCCTGAAGAAAGAAAAAAAAATCAGTCTGGGGAGCTGAAGTGATGTGCAATATATTGCCTTTCATCAAGTATAATTAATTGAAAATAGTGTGAAAACTTCCCTAATGTCAGCATGTATAATTGTTAACAATTGCTATTAGAAGATGAAAAGAAATGCTGTGTCAGGCTGTAATATCCCAAGAGTTCATGTGTATCATCTGCATATATAATGTGAACTCACTGTGCCAGACCTTTACAGCTCTGCAAAAGTACAACTGGGCTAAAAATAACTCCAGCTCGTAAAAAGTTCGATGTTTTGGTGTAGATATGACAGTGGTACAAAATTGCTACTCAGCTCCAGATTGCCTCAGCAAAAATGACAAATGTGTTCAGATAAACTGTGGAGAGCAACAAACAACCACCCTCAAAGGCTGTGTTGCGCTTTCAGACAAAAAAAAATCAGGTTAAAACTTGGTTCTTCCTGCTTCTGTCCCGCAGCTGTCCATCAAAACCAGCTTTCTCCCTGCGGTCTATCAAATATTTCCCTCACAAATCAATTTTACACATGATCAGCCCATACCCCTACTGAGCTGAACCTCCCCGTTAATTAAGTGAAGAAATTACCATATATATTATATTAATGCAAACATCATTCAGCTAGTAATTCACGGCTGATCTGGATAATGGAAAGGTTGAACACCCATTAACCCAAGCCAACAAAATGGGTTGGCTGAGAAATTCTAGCAGGTCTCATGTGACTCTTCCCTCTAACTGCAGCTCTGCGGTATCTGCTATTGTAATAATTAAAATCCTCCCGGTAGATCAATACTGGAATCTCTTTATGGGAAGTGCCCTGATGGAAATGTCTCAAGGAAGCTGGGGCTGTGGAACTCTGAAAAATTCATTTTTTTTATCTGACAATTATCACCACACTGCAGACTAATTCAACAGTGCACCCCTCTCACTCTGCTTTGAATGCACTGGAGATTGACATCTAAAAAACCCTAACATCTCATTTTAACAAATAAAGGCACTATTTCCACATACAGTTTGGAATTATCAGCAATCATGAAACCAGACAAAAAATTAATATACATTAAGCACTTCATCTTCTGATGGCTTCCTCTGAGTCTCAGCTATCGCAGCCTTCTCCTCATTTCCTCTCTTTGTATCTTCCTGTATTGATCTCTGCCTTTTCATCTCTTGAAAAAAGGGAAAAGACATGTAAAATTATTATAAAGCTTGATATTTATGTATTGAAATGTGGACTTACATTATCGGGTTTTCATATATTTATTGTTAAATATTATTAAATCATAAGATGGGAAAACAGGTTTTATATTTTCTCCTACCTGGTCTGCTCTCCACGTATTGACTGAAAGACTGGAGCTGAGTTTTCCTGACGGTCGAGTCCTTGCTGAACACAACGGGATTTCTAAACCGTTCTGCTGCTTTTTGTGATCGCTCAGCACGATGTTCCTCTGTTCCATTCTGCTGGGAAAAAAACCAGACACACAACAGTTTCTTTTGTTTACAAGCGGGAAGACATTAATTTGAAAGGTACGTTTTTGTGAGGGGACAGGACACAGCTTTTACAGAATGGATTTCACAACTCAGGCCGTGGTTTATATTGGATGGAAGTATCAGCTGCAGGGAAAAAAGCAGAAGAGTGATTAACTTTTCCTTTTTTTCTTTTTTCTTTTTTTTTTTTTTTTGTTTAATATGTGGTGGCAATGACTGGCTTTTTGCTCTGTGGGCACCCTCCTGCAGAACTCTGTACTTCTTTACCAAGCAGACCTCTTCATTGTGACCGGCATTTGCCAGCGATGCCGATTTTAAACAAAAAATCGCTCCTTTGCGCCTTTTCTGTGCCAAGCTCCACGTGTGCTGCTGCCAAGTCGCGGCGTCTCTGCCCCTGAACATGATCTGTATCGTTTTAAAGTGTGTTGCCTTCAGCCTCTCTCCCTGCCCGGTACAGAAATCTGTCGTTTTCTCTAGTCCTATAGACTTGTATGACAAGAAGAACTAGTTTCTAATTTTATGCCCATTGAGATAAACCACTAATGCTGGATGAAGTCTAAAAGGTAGGATTATAATGCAACCCCACTGAACTGCATTTCATCAGCTATAACTTTCCAAAGCCAGATTTGTAAGTAAGCCCTTTACAGCTAAGGAAACTACAATTATCTTTTCCAGGGCTTCCTATGTTAATACTGGTAACAAATTCAAATGATTCTATCAACACGAAATATCCCAGAAGACTGAACCACTGTGGTGTGTGGAAGCTGCAGATACCGAGGTGCTGTGTACCAAACAAATATTTCATTTTATACCTAATCTTTTATTATTTTTATTAAGTGTTTTGAAAGTAAATAGGGAAAGGCTAAGATGCATGACTAATAGCTAAGCCTGCTGAATGCTGAAACTGGTTATCAAAAGCTACCAAGACTTTGCCCTTCCTCTGCATTGAGACAATTGGTAATGAGGGAGTTCTCCAACGGCCTATTCTCTCGCCTCAAGGAGGCCGGGGATACACAATCCCCAAGGGAAGGTAACAGTTTATCCTTTTCCACAAACACAGAATGCCTCATTTAGAAACCTGTAAACTGCATTTTATTAAAAAACAAATCCACCTCAATGCCAAGAGCTCCATGAGAACAGATGGACACCATATATTCCTTATAACGCCGCCTTTCAACTCTTCCTTAGAAAAGACGCACGCAGAGATAAACTGTTAAGTTGCACCTTTTTGTGGGAGTACCTTAAAAAGAATCAACTTCTTCACAAATGCTTTTCATAAACAGAAATACCATTTTTGTCAGGTTAGGTGATACCAAATTACTCTAAGAGACAGCCCGTGTGTCATTTCACAGAATTAAGGCTTAAACAAGTATTGCTTATACCTCTGGATGACTTTCCAGCTGCACTGATCAGGTGGTTATAAGATTTTGGTTAAATAAAAGGTGGTTTCCTGTTATTAGTATAATAACCATCTGACAGCCTAAACCAGAGTCTTTACCAAAATAAACAAACATGGCTAATTTTTTTAGGCCTGGCAACATGCTAAAATATCAGTGTGATTAGCTAGTAAATCCCATTTTAAGAAACCTTTTTATGACTGGGGACTTCTGCCACTTTACAAATGTATTCCTCTAAGCCCACTAATTCAGTTAGCCTTTTCAATCCATTGTATTATTCTTGGGCCAGCTTCATTTTGCATTAAATCCACTGCAGAAAGCTAAATTGAACGCAAAAATCAGACTTGATCCAGGCTTCCTTTTGTTCAAAGATAGAGACCGAAAGTCCTCTGCTGCTGCCACACACTTTCATCACCAATTTATAGGAACCGACAGTGTAAGGGAAAAGCAATGAAAGTCATTGTTTTGGGACTTCAAAGCATCTCTGTATCTGGGGAAGGAAATCCTTTCAGTCAGCAGTGCTCTCCCCACAGACTGCAGGTGGGTGAAAAGTTATACCCAACTGGAAGTGCCCCAGAGCCATAGGGATATTAATGACATACAGGGACTATTTTAAAAAAAATAGAATAGAGAGAACACAAGGGGTCTAATTAAGAAAATGAAATGGAAAATTGATTGGTGGGCACTTTATGCTGAAGTGGTGAACATTAAGAATAGGCAAAGTGCCCATATACACCACATACTCGTGTCTGTTTTTCTCAGAAGCACTCATCGAGCACCCAAAGTGTGTAAGCCCTTAAAGTGTACCGCAGCTTAATTTTAATATAGGAAAAACAGAGGACCAGGACTGGGAGGGAACCAAATCTCTGAGAGTCCAACCCCACTCCCATTCAAGTCAGGTAGTCTGGCTGCTGATTGCACCAGCAGCAGGATGGAGCCCGTGCTACATTTCTGATATCAGTAACAACCTGAGCAGGCAGAATTGAGAGAGCTTCTTATATCTGTTACTGTTCTGCCAATGACAAGTATCAAGATGAAAAAAAAATATTAAAAAGGAAAAATAAAAAAAGAAAAAAAAGAAAGAAAATGTGTTGCTCAATCAACAGGAAAAAACCCAGTGCATTGCAAACCATGTAACTGCGCTGCCATGAAGATTTTCTGTGTTTCTGACTTGGAAAGATTTGGTAAGAAATTATTTTCCTCCTCACAAAATACAAACCCTCAATCATAACACACAGGTACCAAAACAAAAGTATTAAGCAAAACTTACCTTAATGTCTTGCTCTGAGCTATCTGTTACAGTTTTCTGAGCAGCACTGGAGAGTGAATTTGCCACCTGTGGCTGAGCTTCTAGGAGCTTCTTCAGCTTCAAATCCACCAACTTACTGTTTTGTTCTGCTAAATATGCAAATACCACATACAACAGAGTGAGATGCATTTCAATGCCGACTTGCTACAACAATGTAGCAATTTAAAAGGTAGATTTAATTCACTTTGCTATCATTCTGAACTTAAAAAAAATAAAATTAATTGTTTTTGTGATTGGTGCAGGTTTGTGTAACATACATAGATTTTTTTTTCTTGGAAAACATACATGACACTCAGCTGAACAAGTAAACATGCTTGCAGACAGCAGATGAAAAATAGAGAAAGTAGATAACATTTAAAGTAACTCCCAACAGATACATACCTACATTTCGGTATAAAAACACAGTTAAAAAGCCATTTATTTAAAGATGACTATTTATCATATAACTTACATACCAATAACCCCTTAAGTTTATGAACTAGTAATTCATCCTAAGGCTTCTTGGCACAGCTTCTCATAAAATTTCAGTATCAAAAAAGACTACTTTCTAGTAATACTTTACTATGATTCATAGAGTATGTTGAAACTGGAAGTCATAAAATGCTTCAGAACTCCACCAAAGGGACAGACTCGAAGTCTGCTGAAGCCCCCAAATTTTTAAACAAATTTTAGCAATTTGGATCAGAGCCCAAATAAATAGCAGTTGAGAATTTGCCTCCCACTAATCCACTAATGCTCATTCTGTATGTGAATATTGACTGTATTAATTTGTGACACACCTACACATGTAGTTACCTATGCTCACACATAAGGAGGAGGAAGGTATTAGTAACAAGCTGCAGCACAGGACTGTGGAGCTGTCCCTGGGCAGGGAAGCAGAGGAACACTGGCACAGGAGCCCCCAGACACACGCTCTGCATGCAGCCCTACATGAGGAATCACCCCTGCACTGGAGCCAGGGGAGCATCACCTGCACATGGGATGCACTTACACCTTGGGTCACAGGCAGAGGAAAAAATAGTTCCTGTGGTTTCCCACGTGCACAACCTGAGTTTTTCACTGCAGGCTGGTGACTTCCAGCTGGTGTGGAAAGTGGAGTCATGACTGTTTAGCCACACAGCTCCTTCCAGGGTTTGGAGTGCTCCAATGCATATTAGCCGAAACATTTTTGGCATGCAGGCAGTTGAATGCTGCCTGTCTCCAGCAGCCATGGGCTGGGCTGGATTATGAAGAAGGATAGTTTCCCTTTCCTCTGGCACACCCAGTCAGGGTGTCCTTAATTGAGGCTCACATGTAAGTACATGCACATTCTGGTGGGTTTATGCATAAACTCTGTGTAATAACTATGAAATAAGAGGTTCACAACATGTAGAAGCGATACTTCAAACCAAGAAAGAGTAAAAATGAAGTTTTCTCGAGAGAGATGAGAGGGGCTAAGATTCAGCAGGGGACTAATTAAGATGGTCCATAATGATCCCAAATGTGAAATGTCCCTTAATAGTTGTATTTTTGGGTGTTCCCAGGACATTCATCCTTTATTAGAACTTGGTATGATTGGAAGATTTAAACCAAAATCCACGTAGTCTGATTTCTACCACAGCACTAGACTGTTTTCTGTATTACTGCCCATCTTCTTTCTTACTTGTCTGTACCTCTGGCTACTGTGCAGACTGAACTGCAAAATAATGTCCCAGGTTTTTTTCAGAATGTCTCCCCATGGTGGACATGGAGCACTGGGCAGTGGGTTTGTATTCTTTAAAAGGTACCTGCAGCCCACAGAAACAAATGTTGGTAGGTCACTGGGGCAGCAATGGGACAAGAATATGCACTTATTCAGTTTCTATTCCTCCTAAAATTAACCAGTTTTTATTGGAAAATCATTTGATTTTGAAAATCAAATGATTCTGATTTAAGTAAGCTCAATTCAAGTGCTGGAAACACTAAATATATTTTCTTATGTGTCTGGAAATCCTCAAATAGAAAAAAAATAAAGGACATGACTCAAATCTTTTGCATGCAAGAAAGACTAGAACATGCCATATACACATCACTGTTGGTTTAATTTACAATAAAAAAAACACTAAATAAGGTTCTGATTTAACTTATTATGGACTACACATTTGGGTCTAGCTGGCAGGGGCAGAATCAAGCCAGAGGATGCTGAAGATATTTTCTCTTGCTCCGCCTGTTTCAAGACACAGTCCTCTGCCGGCCAAGTTACTTCAGGCCTGAGCTAACTGTAAGATTCCAATGTATTTAGCACCACATTTATCACCTAAACTCCAGCTGGGCTAAAAGATTTTTGAAAGGGGGGGGAATAACACTCTTGTGGACTTCACATGTTTATAAAAACTCTGTTATTTGAACACTATTAAGTAAGTAAGACTGCTTCTGCTCATATTTATACCTGCATACCCTCACTGGGGCAACAAGGTGTAAACACAAGAATTGGTCCTTGGGAAGGAACCAGAGAGATACCAAGTCTATACGAACACAGAAAACCACATTTGCTCCTCTTCCCTGAGCAGATGGGCCAGGAAGGCAGTGCAGAGTGGCACTCACCCACACCATTGCTCATCCCTCTGCCTACCTGGCACAACCCAGGCAGGGTGCTTTCAGGTGGCTCTGCTTTACCAGTGTGACCTAGGTGCACTTCCCCATCAGAAGAGCAGAAGACATTTAAATCTGACATTGTTGGAAATAATGATTTCATTAATTTTGAATTTCAACTAAACATGAATGCAGGATATTAAACATTAGGGTTTAAAAGACCTGAAAAGGCACACAGGAATAAAGCTGACAGAGGGACAAGCAGCACATCACTATTTATATGATGATGGAGTGTTAGTCATGCAAAATACACAAAATAGCCATTATTTAAATTACCCGTTGAATCAAGGTCATTTTCTAGGTTAGTAAGTTCATCTCCACCTCCAGTAACAGAGCATTCAGGAGCCTCCTCATTAGTATCTATCTCAATATTATCATCATCCTCATCCTCATCTGTAGGAACACACAGCATTAAGGTTAGTATTTTCATATGTACATGCAACACATCACTGAAAAAAATGAATGCTTCAGAGAATAAGCTGAGTTATGATAAAAATGAAAATAATTAAATAAGTCTGGAAGAAGACTCCAGTCTGTCCACTTCTGGATTTATCTTTAAACTGAGGCAATTCATTAAACATATGGGGGTCTCTGCTGGAAACTCCTGCTCCAATAAAGGCAGTCTGGCCTCAGCAGCATCTGCTCTCTGCACATAACCTCTGGGTAACTTGAATCAAAATGGTTTCCCCTGGGTTCCCAGTTCTCCATATTGCAGAATGGATGCCAAGGCTGCCATGTGGCAGGTTCAGATGTCTCTGGGCAGCAGCAGGACCTTGAGCTCCTGTCTCCTGAGAAAGGCTCCAGGTACTGAGTTCCCAGCTTGTTGAGACTTGCTACTCCTCACCTTGTACAGTGCATCCCAGAACAGTGATCACTGTACTTGCCAGTGTTCTTCTGGTACCAGGAGGAATGCTACCCCCTGGAACATCATGCTCAATAAGCAGCTATGTCAGGTGCAGTGAGAGTACAGCAATGAATTGCTGCTTTCCCAAAAGCACAGGATGGGTCAGGCTGTAAGGGACCCCCGTGGGTCATCTGGTCAAACTTCCCTGCTCAGGCAGGGCCATCCCAGAGCACGTGGCACAGGATTGCATCCAGATGGTTCTTGAATATTCCCAGTGAGGGAAACTCCACAACCTCTCTGGGTAATCTGTCCCAGTGCTTGGGCACTGCACAGGGAAGTTCTTCCTCATCATTCCTGTGCCTCAGTTCCTGCCCGTTGCCTCTTGTCCCTTTGCCCGGCACTGCCGAGCAGAGCCTGGTCCATCCTGGGAGCCCTCCCTGCAGACACTGACAGACATTGATGAGGTTCCCTCTCAGTGTCTCTTCTCCAGGCTGAACAGGCCCAGCTCCCTCAGCCTCTCCTCAGAACCGAGGTGCTCCAGTCCCTTCATCATCTTTGTCACCCTCTGCTGGACCCTCTCCAGGAGCTCCGTGTCTCTCTTGCCCTGAGGATGCCAGAGCTGGACACAGCACTCCAGACTGGCCTCACCAGGGCTGAGTAGAGGGGCAGGATCATCTCCCTGACCTGCTGCCAATGCAGTTCCCAATGCAGCCCAGGATCCCCTTGGCTTTCTTGTCCCCCAGGGCACTGCTGGCCCGTGGACAGCTCGGTGTCCACCAGCACCCCCAGGTCCTTCTCTGCAGAGCTGCTGCCCAGCAGGTCACCCCCAGCCTGTGCTGGTGCCTGGGGTTGTTCCTCCCCAGGACCCTGCACTTGCCCTGGTTGAATTTCAGGAGGTTCTTCCCTGCCCATCTCAGCCTGTCCAGGTCCCTCTGAAGGGCTCTCAGCACCCTGGGGTATCGGCCACTGCTCCCAGCTTTGTGCACCAGTGAACTTGCTGAGCAGGCATCTGCCCCTTCATCCAAGCCATTGATGAATAAGTTAAAACTGCTTTACTGCACTACTTTTCATCAGCTTTGTTTGTAAGCTAAACATATTTTAAATAAAATAATAATTGTAATTATATTTTATGGGATCTTTCTACCAAGTTTCTCAGAGCAGCTTATGAATATCACTCGTAAATGAGCCCCATAATGTTTTATGAAATAGGTGATTATTATAATTACAATTATGATGATGATGATGTACCTAAATTATGGCACAGAAAGAGTAAGTAACCTGAAGAAGATCAAATAGCAAGTTCTGAATTGTAAAGCGGAACCCAGAAAAAATCCTGACTCACATTTTCAATACAAATATATAATGAAATTCAAGTTCATAAAAGCTAGATTAATACTTTCAAAGTAAGTAGATGCATTGTATTTACTCACTTTTAAATCTCATATCAAATGCTATCTACACTTCTTCAGACTTACACTAACATTTTTTTTCCTATGTATGTGTGCACGTGTGTAAAAATGATAAATAAGAGTCGGCTAAAGTCTGTCTGCAGAAACAAGACAGAGTAACTAAATGAACTTCAAAATATCTAAGACAGGAAAAAAATACAAATTATAAATACAGGACATGGGTATATTCAAACATCATATAAACATAAAGGATCCTAAATAGAGTACCATGATAAATTCTGAATCACAGAGGTTTGGACCAGGATTGGTGCTGATCATTCATGTCTTGGAAACACACTCAACCTCATTCCTAGCCCTGAAGCTTACACTTGAGGCCCACACTGCTGTAATGAAGGTCATACAACTGTATCTTTATCCTTTTGTCTCTATAGTACCTATAATTCTCATTTTAGAAGCCTGTTGATTTTTTTTAATGTCTAATACTTTTTTCTAACCATCTTCTCTCTCAATTCCCCTGTAACTAACCAACATCTTCCACAGACCTCTGCTGACATAGGGTAAGGCTCTTGCTGCAACAGACAGAAGAAAGGAAGTTCCCACTTCAGTGTCTTATCCAAGATCAGTTGTGTGTGCGACGGAGCAGCACCCCTGGGCTTCAGCTGAGCACCATGCCTTCCCTGGGCTCCCCTCCATGTGTTCCCCTTGGTCTCTAGAAGACTCAGCTTTCTTTCAAGCTGTCCCATACTGAGCCAGGGTGATGGAGAAGAACATGTCTTGCCAGTCAATCCAAGATCTGTGACCAGACTTGGAACTGATTGTGCTTCAGGTGTGGAAGTGGATGGGCAGAAACACTCCCAGCTCTCTGAGACACCCCTTCTGTTTCCACTTAAACTCACACAGGCAATCCTGAGATCTGGACTCCCCGTGGTTTCAGAAGTGCAGAGGTAAGTGAACAAAGCAGAACTGCACAGAATGATCTTCATGAAGTAGATAAAAGGACAAAAAGTAAAGGGATAAAAAGCAGACTGAAGAGAAAACAGAGAATGGCAAAGCAACAACAGCAGCAAATCTGATGGTTTTGAATTTCCTCCAAAGCTGCTCTACTGTTTCTGATGAGGAGCTTCACTTTGCACACAATTATAAATCCTTCATGATGGTGTTGGAAAAATCCAGTGGCACTCAGGGCATGCTACTCTCAAATACATCCTGGAGTTCACAGGGGGACACTGAAAGCATGACTGGGCTACTGTGGACATTTGGAAGAGGTAGAAGGGAAGAAAGAGAGACACCCTCACAGCAGAGGGAAACCAAATCCACCTGCAGCCTAGAAGCAGGCAATGACTTTTGGAATCACTCAAAGGAGTCAGCTCACAAGGTCAGCTCACAGCTACTAGCCATCCCACCGGATGCTAGACATGTCAAAACAATCTAAACAAGATGACAGGGTTTAAGACTCCTGCACACTAAGGGAATGCTTATGTTAGATAATTTGATTTTCTTTAATTTAATATAGCGAGATGAGATCAGAAGCACTGCCTTTGACACCACCATTTTAGGAAACAAAAGAGATGGCAATGTGGAAGACACCAGTTTCTAGTATCAGATAATGACCTGATCTAGTATTTAATTTAAAGTTGGCAGACTTTGACTGAATATGATTATCAAGACATTTACACTTTATTTTTTAAAAAAAATCAATTAAAAGCAGTAATTTGAAGTAATTTCAGCATTTTTCGAGTATCTTTAAAAATCTAGATCCCTTGATTTAAATTACTCTAGGGTTTTTTTCCAGTTCAATGTTCTTCCAGTGTATTAAAAGGGAAATGTGTTTAGGGAGCATGTTACAACAAGATTTTGCAATTATAAATGATAAAAGGAACAACATGACGAAGAGATAACAGATATCTTTTATGAAAAGAACAAATTGCTAGTGCAAAAAACTTAAAGCACTTGGTCTAGAACCAGGGCAGACTTTAGAAAATGACTGAAGGACTGAAGAACTGCTTCCTTGAAAAGTATTTAAATTTGAATTCTAGAAAGACAGTAAAGCTTTACTATGTCATGAATGAATGAACAAAACAAAAGATAAAGGATTGAGTCAACAACTTAACAACACTGACCATCTCCTGCACAGCATGGATTGCAGTCTGGACTGGAGAGAGAGAAATAAGTATCTTTTGGAACCATGTGGAAATGCCAGAATAATGGTGGAAAGGGACCCAGAGGCATTTTGTAGCTCTTATATCTTACTACTCTGATCAAGGTCAGGTCTAATTTGTGGTTAAACTGATATTCTCTTGATTTGGTTTAAGCTGGTCCACATGTGAAGGATTTGCAGCTGACTGCATCAATTTCTAGATTAAATGAAAAAGGAATAATTTTCATAATGAAGCAGAAGCATTGATGGGGCTGGATCATGTTACTGGGAGAAGCACAAAAAGTACTCACTCTTCAGGGAAGGTATCTCCAGCCTTCAGCATTTTCTCTGGGAAGTCCTGCAGGCTTGTGGATGTTGAGATATTTATTTACTTTCAGGTACAGAGTTTGCTTTAAGGCTACAGGATGTGACAGGAGCCTGTGCACAGCAATAAAGGCAGCAAAGGCAGGGAATGGAAGAAAAGCAGAGTTGAAATACTGGTTCCACATACAAGAAATCTGATGTCAGGACAAGAAATTACAGCAGTAACTGTCGACAGATAGAAATACTGTCTACTAAAAATATTAAGGACCTAACACTTGTTCCATGAGTTGGAGACTAAGCCTGATGAGTAAGGCTGTGCCATCATGCACATTATTCCATGAAGATCATTGCCTCAGAAGTGAAATCTTGAACATACCCTGTCCTCACCATCCCTGGGTCCAAGCCACTTCCTCACACCAACGCCAGCTCAAATAAAGGATGGAGATGTGCCAGAGAGTAAAGAAAACACACCACCCAAATCTGAGAAGAGCAGACGGGTGTTCCACTGCTCAGGGACAATTCCTAGATAATATGTCAATTCCTTTGTCCCACTGCTGCTAGGAAAAGGGGGATATTTGGATCTCTATCTCGATACTGTCCCTGGATCCATCTCAAGGCATCCGCTTATCAGCCTGAAGCTAGTAGGACATCTAATAAATTTGAAGCTGCCATCCCAAACCCTCTGGCAGTTGGCAGGAAAAAGTGTTTTCTGTCTCACATGCCAAATAACCTATGAAAAAGACTGGATTTCATAGCTGGGGATGCTGCTTATCCAGAAAAGTTTCAACTTGCCATAGTCATTTGAGTTTCTCAGACCTTGGTTAAATAAAGCCTTTTAACAAAGAATATTGCACCAGTGCCAAAGCATGAAATTCTTAATGAGCATATAGAAACAATGAAAGAGATCGTGCTTTTACCTACAGTTGCAAGGAAGAAGTTACTCTTTAAAGACTCCAGAATCCCAGAGCTGAAAAGTCACTTTTTTTCTGAAATAATTGAATCGAGAGTAAAATTGTTTAGTACATTCCCTTTTTGTAAATCAAAAAGTAATTGCAATCAATGCAGAAGAGATTAATGATGTATAATGGACAAGAGAGCTTGGAAGACATAAGATAATAAGCTTGTCTTGGGTATTGTGTAGGGAATACAGGACTCTACACAATAAAAATGTGAATGCAGTTAGGGGAAACATTCAAAGTCCAGTAGTAATAAGGAGACTGTCTATTAAATCCTCATTTTTGGTGGAAACTGAAAAACTAAGAAGACTAAATCCAGAAGTAATTCCAATTAATTTGGTCTGTTAAGTGTTGGTGCCATTTCACAGAACTACTACATTTTAGAAGAATTAATTTCTTTAGGGGAGATTTGGTGTAGCACCTGCAAATACCAGTGGAGTGGTAGAATTATGTGGCAGATGTGCCATAAGGAAAGATTTTTCAGGAGGAGGAAGCAGAAGAAAATGCTATAAAATGCACACTGACATGAAAAGAGGGATAAAGCAAGACAGGGAATGAAAACTTTAGGTCCAAGAGAAGTTCAAATAGATTGGCCAAACTACTGTATGAATGAAGAAAAAGCTAAGTAGGAAGTACAAATCAAAGCAAAAGTAGAAAGCTATGAAATTGTTGCACTGGATAAAACCCAATAGGTAGAGTGGTGATAATTTTATAAATGAGTTGTCATCAGTTCCGATACCATCTGCTCTTTTAGTAACACTAAATTCTCTGGGTGCATATGCAATCTCCCTCTACAAATACAGATTTATTTTAATATATAAACACAGCTACCTCTCAGACTGTTTACAAATTGCATGAAGGGCAGGAAGAGCAATGGCAAAATACAGATGAAAATATGAACAGGACACCCACATGCCAGAAAGCAGCACACTGGGAAATTTAGCAGGTCTACAACCTGGAACTGGAACAAAACAGGGTCACTGCTATCCAGCTGAGCACCCAGGGCAGAACCAAACAAAGACCTTACTCTCAGAGAAGGAAAAGCCATGCACAGGCACGATGAAACAGTGAGGAGGAAGTAATGAAATAATGTAGGCTGGGGAGTCATGAACTCTGAAGAGGGATGAGGAACACCATGGCCTATATAATACCCAAGTCCTGTGTCATTTGGCTCAGCCTGTCTTACTGCCATCAAGGATATAATTTCTCTATTTGTCACAAAAGAGAGTTATGTTGGCAAACTTGGTTTATGGGGCAAAGAGTGTAAAACTGAAGACCAGACTCAAAGGGAGATGCACAACTCACTGCTTTCTCTTTGGTGTTAAATAGAACAGAAATGTAGGGCTTAGGGTGCGGTAAGACTGTATTTAAATATTTATGCATACAAAATACGCACAGTGGAGAAGAAATAAGTATTTTTGTTGAATCTACATGCATTGTCAGTATCAAGCTGAATTTTCCTTACACACTGGTTTATGATTACGAGTTAGTTTGAGAAACACTATTTGCCTTAGAATATGTAGAAGACATTAAAAGAGCAAGAAGCCTGCACTGAAATGTGTGCTCAGCACCCATTTGAGTTTGAGTGACACTACATTACTCCAGCTCATAGCACTGGCAGGTATATGAATTTTAATGGTATTTCAAAGTCAGTTTAATAACATTATAGCAAAATTACAACCCAAAACCTGTAAAAGCAAGCAAAAGACTTCTGTTCAAAATCAAAAGGTTGCTGCCCCCACCTCTCACTGGCCACCTTTGAAAGTCTCTTCTTTTGAACATATTTAATAAAAAACATGTATTTGTTATTTATATATAACATTTAACAATATGCAATAAAAAATATTTCTTAAATATTTCAAATGTTGTTTTCCCCCCAAATTACGCCCATGTTCCTATATAAACATATATATTGAAGAACACTAACAACCATGAAATTCTAAAAAACTGTGGCTAATGAGAAAACTGTAAATAATGGGCCAACATGAGCTACTCATTCACAGAACATATTTTCCTTTCAATCCCATGTATGCTTTTCTTTCAACTGTTGGAAATTAAGTGACACAACGTAGATTTAGGAAACACATGTATGGCCAGGTCTTTTGATACGTTCACCTGATGAACAACAACGTTTTGAAGTGTGAATAAAAGTGATACCCAAAAAGGTCTCTGGTTTCTAGGTTGCCATAGGAATAAGATACAAGGTTCCTCAGCTCACCTCCAGATGCCTTTGACCTTTCTTTCAACTTTTCTGCAGCCATTTCAGTGTAGCTGGGAAGTTCTGACATCTTCACTCCAGATCGAGCTTCTGCTATTAGCTGACGAGCTCTCTCTCTCAGCTGCCGACGCCGCTCTTCATCTTGCTGCTAAGATATATTGAACAGTTGCCAACTCAGTAATTGACAGAAATGCAATTTCATTCTCAATCTGATCATCATGATAGGAACTGGTTTACAGCATGGTGCTTGGCCCACATTATAAATAGGACGCTCGATATCAGTTGGGTGTCACACCACAATTTTTAAAGACATCCATGCGTCAGATTATTTTTTTTTTTAAGCATTCCCCAAATTATTACTGCATTAGAAACCTGATGATTTTCAATGTAAAGCTTTTATAAATTATGTTCTACAAAAACACCTTGATGAAAATTTGCAGACACTTTAGTCTCAAAGTAATCACACCCAACGAGTGATTTGAGTGAAATTTTACCATGGCTACTAAATTGAATTACTCTTCTGAGTAGCATTCTGTCACAAAACTGGGCTGAGAAGCCAGATATTTATCTTGGTTACTCCAAGCACCAAGTTGACTTCAAAGTATAAAGTGGCATCAAATCTGAGGCATGTTCTTTGACTTCAGTGGATAAATTTCTTTATAAAAAAACAAGCAAAAAAAAAACCCTAATGAAAATTATTGATAGAACAATAGATGCTCTCACAGCAGAAAAGACTTTGCATCTCTTTAGAACATCCTACTAGTGGGGTTTTGGTCAATAATTAAAGAAATCACACTGGAACCATGCCAGATAGTGCTGTCCCACTAATAACTTAGAAGCATGATAATGTTTCAGTTACATAAATAAAGTCCTGCAGCATGAAATTCTGTAAAAGACTAAGCCACCATGATAAAAAAACCTTCATAAAAAGATGGGTTTAAACATATCTATAAGGCTCCACAGTCTCCATAAGGGAAACCTTTTCAGTTTTCACCTTAAGGATGGAATTTTTTGCAGAGTTAGGCCTGTTTTTCCCCTTCCTCAATATCAGAAATTCTCATAAAGTTCAACAAAGTCAGTGCTTGGCTTAAATCTAACTTGCCAGTAAGTTTATGTATTGTTGACATAATGACCTGGATAAATCCCAGGTATAAGCTGTTGACCTGAACTAAATAGAATATAACAAACTGCCTAATTTTGGAGAGCCATTCTGGCAGCCATCCCACCAACCCAGAAACTTGAGCATCCCACACCTGCAGAGCCTGGTGAGAGCTGTTGCTAAGTGCTATTTAGTTTAAGCAATCATTAATAAAACAAGCGCAAAATACTAATTAGGTACATTTTATCCATTTCCATGTAAATTGTTTGTTTGTAGCTATTTACTCAGCATTGTTCCCGGCACAATAGAAAAAATGCAAATGACTAAATCAGAATGCAGCCCTAATGGGACTTTCTGTTTATAACCATTAGCCCAGAGGTGTGCTGTAATTCAATCCTCAAGCAGAAAGATTTAGCCTCATTAACAGCTTGCATGGGCAGGTTACAACTCATAAAACCCTACAGTAAACAAAGTATATGGACACAGCACAATATCTTTCCTCTGAGTGACAGAGTCCCGATTCCCTATCAGATTGCCTTGATTTACTTTTCTCCTAATATCCTCCCCTGGAAAGACAATTCTGCCTGAGCCCTGCGAGGCAGCGGGATGGCACATGGGCTTTGCTTTCTCACCCTTTAACTTCCCAGAAGGCACAGAGCAACAGTTCTATCAAAAATTTATTTGGTAAAGTACACATTAGAAAGACAACTGGAAAGCTCACCCCCTCCCCGCCCCCCATGCAATATAATAGATCAATTTAATTTAATTTCCAGCCAGCCAACTGACACAGCAAATGGTTTTATTTCAACCCACAGTATTTGGTAACATTAATTACATTGAATTTTACTTGAAATAAAACTGCTCAAATCTCTAAAATTCCTAATTCCTTGGATATAGGAACTTGTGGTCTTAAATGACTTCTAAGAACAAATGTACAAAATTAAGGTTTTCACGTGGTTTAATGTCAAACAACTTAATCTACTTCAGCACATGTAATTTAAAATAGGGCCAGTTGCGTGTTTGTGACAAAAATGCCCTAAACTGAGCTGTCTGATTTCTCCCATCTCCTTTCCTCCCCTTCTCCTGAAAGAGAACTTGTATCCTGAATTATTAGCATAGTCATTAACATCCCGGGGATCTCCAAGCAAACACAGATTATGGTGGCTTGTGTTTGTGCTGATTAAGCCAATCATCACCAGCGGATAAGGGAAAAACCAGCCTAGTTCTTGCTTAAATTCAATTCAGGTATTTGAACCCTCGGTTACTGAGCTTGGCAGAAGAAACACTGGTAAGAAGGAGCAATGAAACTGAGAGCTGAAAAAGTAGATAGATTAAGTTTTGAGGTACAGAAAAATAGTTAAATGGCATTTCAAGCTGGAATTTGGAAAGGAAAGCACTTGAGAGAGGTACAGAGGCATGAACAAAAAAAATAAAAACAATAAAACAACCCAGGAGATATGAAAAGAAGCACTGCACCAAGAAAGGACCAAGCAAACACACATCCAGTGACTTATTTTTCCCTGTACAGCTGAAAAGAAAACTCAGTAAAATCTTCCACCCTCTGACACGAATCTGACATGCCAGAGACATTACAGTTTTCTTTGTTATTTCCCCCCAACTATTTTGTAATGGTTTAAAGATCTGCCATGCAGATACACAGTGAGGAAAACTTCACTATTTAAGGACAAACTCTTCACGAATAAGTAATGTAATTCCTTGTTTCCCTCCTATAAAAATGTATTGGTATGCAATTTTTATATTTCACAGTTCACTGACATCTCGGCAAGCTTTCTTCCACTGCTTCAATGGTGCTACTTTTAATTTTATCCTCCTTAGTCCTAGTAATTAAAGTGATCAGCAGTGGCATCCCAACGGCTTTGACACAGCTACAACCCCCTAGCTGACTCCGGCTTTTAAGGGAAAGGGGAAGAAAAAAAAGGACGGGAGTTTCATTTCACTGGAACAAGAAAATCAAGCTTCTCCAATCCTCAACTTTATCCAATTGTTCTTTCAGCAGCCTTTGGATCTTAAGAAACAAATAAAAATGGCTGCCATTAGGGGGTCCTGTTTGTACTCGCCGCAGACGGCAGTGACTGACATTACTTTGGCCAAAAATTATGCCGTGGATTTGGGAAGGTGAATTCAAATGTGAAACACTGGCAGGGCAGTTTCTGAGATCATTACCCGGCCAGCTGAGAGCTGCCCAACTCAGGAAAATATTGAGAGTGGTGGAGTCTTTCAGGGCAAAAAACACCCCCACACCCCACTAAAAACCATCTCCTTAAATGACTAAAAATTTTGCAATCTTCTCACATGAAAAAGAAAAAAAAAACCCACAAAACCTGTGCCAGGGATTTTCAGTCCTCCTTTGGTAGAATTTTGGGAGGATCCAAACTGACTTTACACCCGAATTCTGATAATGTATCATCCTTTCACTATATTAAAAAAAAATTAATCTGGCGAACTGCATTTGTTTGACATTTAAAAAGTAAATTCTTTACTGTGCCCATAAACTGGGGGACAAAAGTAAAATTTAAAAAATTTGGGAACGTACTTATAACCCACAGCAACAAAATCAAACCAGAATTGTATGAGAGGGAGCGATTCCTGAAGCTGTAGGTTTCAAAATGGTTCGTGGTCAGCCGTGAGTGCACAGTACATCTAAGAGAAAGAACCTGACTGCCACCTCTTTCATCATTAGACAGGAAGAACGGCTCTGTTATTAGCCATTCAGAAAGAAAGACTTCTGTGCTTGTCCAGAGGCAAGGATTACCAAAATGTACCTATTCAGTTAGAAGAGAAGACAGAATAAAAAATAAATAAATAAAAAAAAATAAATAAAATTACACGAGCTTTAAAGGTTTGAGCAGGCTGGGTTGTACTGTGACCTTGATCGGCTCTTGTTTGAGTAAATAGGATTTGGGATGAAACATTAAAACTGTTTAGCAGATCTTTTCAAACCATTTCAAACTTTTCTTATGTTGGTTTATAATATAACCAGACATGCTTGTAAATGGCCACACCTGCTCATTCCTCTGGGGATGGCCTGATCTCTGCCTTTGCTAACAAAGAAAGGACGGGAGAAAAAAAAACCAGCCTTTCTTGTTGCAAAACAGAGTGGAAAGTCAAAATCTTTCTCAAGTTTGTCCCATCTGGTCAGATTAAATCTCTGATCACCCTGGGGATCACATTTATGTTTGGTCTCTACCACTGCTTCAGAACAGCTCAAAATACACAGGTAGTGAGCAAAACATGGATTGCTAAGCAAGGAACACTCGGCATAAACAAAAGTGGCTTTGGATTTCTGTGGCTATTCAGATCGTAGGAGGTGGTAAGCAAAGACAGACATAAACATCTTGGGTATTTTCTGCCTTCTGCCTGGTGTCTACATCAGCTACCTCACTATCCATAAACTGCATGTAGCTTGAAAATATTTTTTCATGAATGCATATCACAAAAAGTATCGAATTGCTTAAGTAGCTATTGGCTTAGGAGCTATGGCAAAGATACACTGATGAAACAAGACAGAATGAACGCAAAAAGTAGCTCAAAGTCTAAAATCGGAAGAATCAGAAACAATATCTTAACAAAGTTGTCCCCCTTAAGAAAAAAAAGCTCCCAAAATTCACAATAAAATGGGGTGGTGTGGCTGTAAAATGGAAAACATCTCCTTAAACCAAGGAGGCATTTTTAAAGAAGTAGCCAGCAATTTCGTCTATTTTTATTTTTTAATTCTAAAAATTATTTTGTGTTGTTCTGGAAAACCTACAATTCACTAAGTACACTATTTCTGTGTGAAGAACGGTGGCTGTAGAAAAACAATCCACTGATAATTTAATTCTTTGTGTCATTGTGAAACTGAAAAACTCTTAGTTTACTGAATGGAAAAAAAAAATATTTGAAAAAAAGAATGTCTGACTAAGTAAGTATCACCTTGTGCTACATCCAAGGCCTCTTGCTGGTTGTCTGGCTGCTCTTTTGTAGGCAAAAAGGAGCTGAACGCTCTCTGGCTCCTTAGATCTGGTCCAACAAATGCACTGCCAGTCATG